ATTACGTACTCATGATTTCGAACTCATTGATGAAGCTAGACATTTGCAGATTGAAAACGCTAATAAAGACATTTTTCTTGCAAAGTCCAAAGCTGAGAATGATATAAAATCTAAGAAAATCAAATCATTCGAGTCTATGATTAAGATATTGGAAAGTAAGTTATCTTCAGCCCAGAAAGATGTGATTTTGATTCAAAGTGACTTATCGAAAAAAGAAACTGAGATCACGTCTCTGAAATCCAAAATAGCTGAATTAGAAAATATAAAGAGCGAATTGGAAGAGGCGAAGCCTTGAGACTATGTTTCATCGAAGGTCAATGAGCTTGAGTGTCTGAAATCGGAGACTATATCGAAACCTGTGATCGGTGGGAATGTCGAGGAACAGAGCTCCATTATTTCTACAATAAAAAATAGATTGAACTCTAGTAATATTTCTGTAGTTAGTGAGGAATCAGAGATTCGAGGCTATGCCTCACCTAGTCAGTTTATAACTACCTCTAACAATAAAAATCTTAGTAAATATTTTATACATGGAGGTTCAAAGAACTATTGCTCTGCAATAAAAAATATAGATCCAATAAAAAAAAATAATAGTAATATTTCGACGTATACTAGGCCTTTAGACGCCTCAAAGAGGCATGATGAGATTACCGAACTATCAAAAAATAATACCAAGGTCAACTCCAAGAGAAGTGATGATGAAATTGATATTAGTAAAACTAACAACAATGTATTCCAAGAAATACTGATTGTGGCTTCATACCTTGTACAGCCAGAAAATAATCTGTTCTCTTTGATTAAATCGAATGCCCAGATGAGACCTGGTCCTGAGACTTTGCCTCTTCTGATAGAAGGAATAGAAGCGATGAGACCTAGTATCAAAACTCTGCCTCTTCCTGCTATGGCAAGCACTTTGATGTCACCTCTATCGGCATATATTTTTCTTGCTCTGTTAATTATTGCGGTTGTGTGGTTTGTGAGATGCATATAGAATATAGATAGGCTCGAAGCACCATTGCTCTGCAGGCTTGAAGGAGTGACTCTAAAGGGTCATAAAAAAAGTGATTGATTGCGGGATATGTGGATCGGGTAACCAAGACTATCTATATGAACTTCATTACTTGATTCTGGATATTTTATATAAAATAACTATTAGTTTTTTTCGAACTTTAGAGAAAAAAGAAAAAAGAGCGCGAGAGCATAAATAAAGTCACTTTCTTGAAATATAAACGCAACTTTGAGGCTAAAATGAAGGTCCATACTACTCCATACAAAAAAAGATTAAAAAATCAATCTTTAGCTCTTATCGAATATATATAACCTAACTAAATAGTAATTGCTATATCCGGCTAGTTATTCATCTCAGGTAGGGGTGATTTTTGTTACCTCTTACAATTAATATAAAAAAAAATTCAAATAAAAAATTAATATTCTGATACCTGGATCATATAAAGAGGTTTTTGTGTTGTGTAATTTCACATAAGTACTTTTGATATAATGTAAGGTAATTTATCCAATAACCATTTTTGGGTTGTGTATTTTTGATCAAGATAAAATTATGCTTTGGGTATCTACCAAATATATATTATAAAATTATGCTTTGGGTGTCTACCAAATATATATTATAAAATTATACTTTGGACGTCTACCAAATATATATAAAATCCCAAAGTATTTTTAACATAAAGTGATAGTATTCGAAAGTATTAACTATGCAAGAAAGATTTCTAGGATCGTAAAACATAGTATACTGCCGGTAGTCACCCAAAGTAAAATTATTATAGATTATAAAAATTATGCTTTGGACGTCTACCAAATAACTGCTAACAATTGCTAACAATTTAGCACTACGTGCCTCATCATCGGGTGATAATCGAATGAATTATACGAAGCTAACAACTGCTAATGAGCAGTCTATAAATGTCTCATCTTTGACGAGGCAAACGCAAAATGTATATTACTCAAATAACGACGCAAGTGTGAATCATTCGTCACTCGAATGATAGAGCAAATACTAATATATCTGACGACGCAAGCACGAATCGTTTGTCACTCAAATGATGGGTAAATACTAATATATCTCTGACAACACAACGTGAATCATTCATCACTTGAATGATGGAGCGAATACTAATATATCTCTGACGACACAAGCACGAATTATTTGTCACTCGAATGATGACATAAATGCAAAATGCTCGTCATACCTGAGACTATAATAGTCTAATCTAAGTCGTTTTGTGTTTATATAAACAAAAAATGACTTACAATACAAATTAACAATGGTATCTTGTTAATTATTAGTGTAATAATAGCCTTAAAATTTTTTAGATAAATTAATACTTCTCAATAAATAAGCATCATTATATAAAATAATCTATAAAATTTAATAGCTATAAAAAAGTTTTACAATGTTACAGATTTTTTTGTAAATTTAGTAATTTTGGATATCTTTAGGATTCTTGAACCATAGTTGGATCAATTAGAAAGCCCAAATTCCATTATATAAAAAATTCTATTTTTAGACTTGGTTTTACTTTGTGTCACTTATATTTCGACATTTGGATATTTAAAACTATACTTCAAATTAGCATTCCCAATAATTTTTCTATAGTTTTTATCTCATTTCATTCAATTTGTTTCAACTTCAGTTTTATATTTTATGTTTCGGCCTCATTTCGCTTGGCATAACAATGACTTTACACAGAAGTAACATTTACCGATAATATCATGTTGCATACTCAAGTTTTAATCAAGATTTATGGTTACATGAATACAATCTAAACTTAGAAATGACTATAAATTCTTTCACTATGCGTACGTACGTACGTACGTATGTACAAGCTTCATTATAGTCTGATGATCAGTGATTATCAAATAATAAAGTCAATAAAAGTCAAACAAAAAAAATATGTAAAATTGGTGGTTCAAGGACATATAGAAGCAAAATACAATAATTATTGCAATTTCGGAAATCGTAGCTAGAGGTTACTAACTAAAGCAAGATGCTAAAAGCTAATACGTTATATAAAAAGCAAAATGTCTTTTTTCAGATGTCATTTTGACAATACATAAAGAAATCTGCGATCTTATTATAGTACTCCAAGTACTATTCAAATTTCTTGAATAATATCCTTCTGTGTACTAATTACGGGGGATGGTACTATAATGAGGGTACTTTACATAGTTTAATATTATATTGTTTATTAATAAGGATTTCAGATATAAATATTATATATCAAACTATATGTATATACCCGGACTTTTTTCTTCTGGATCAGGATGTACCCGGGTCTCTTTAATGGAAATATTGTATACACTATAGTCAGTGGTGTACAGTATTTTGTAACCACCACCCTAGCGTCACCAACTAGTTCAAGACCAGGTGTATCATAAAATTAAAGCACAAAATACACTCAAATTAGAATGTTATCTGCTTCACGTAACATAAAATACTGTAGTTCTTTAAATAACTTGTTAAAAATGGATATATTAATTTTTTTTTAGTAACTTTATTTAAAAGATATTAATAACAAGTTTGATTGAATTAAAAAATCATTCTCGAAACAAATAGTTGCTTCTAAGCAATGTTTTAATCATAAATTCCGTTTATGAGTATTAAAATAGTAATCTTTATATTACTGATTGCCATTATTGAAGTATATTCTTAAATTATTATTAATAAGTTTAATAGTCACATATCAAAAAGTAATTATAGGAATACTATAATGAGCAAATCTATTAAGCAGATTTGAGCATTTTAAGCAAAATCTAACGTCGGCAGCGAAATTTTCTTGGGCTAGTGATGCTGGGGTTCTACGTAGTAATTTGTTGCGTAAATACAAATTTCTGACATATTTTTCTTACGTAGCATAAAGGCACCCATGATTATCAAGTAATTTGTTGGTTTGTTATGTAGTGCACTCTGCATGAACTGAACTTTCTGATGATTGCAGATTCCAGATATATATATTTATTTATACAAGTTAGTACGTACGTATATCTGACGCACATTCTAGTGTATATGTATGCTATACGATTTTTTAATTTTTTAATTAATGTAAGCAGGTTATTTACGATCATCACTAATGGCGATTTTTTATTTGAAACAATGCAATATTTTTGTTACATAAATGCAATCTGATTATACGTAGTATATTCATACAAGTCATACAAGTTAGTATTTCTGACGCATATTATCACTTTTTTAATATAGGGTATGCAATAGCCTATTAAATTAAATATAGAGTTGCGAATGTTTTATTCCTGTAGATTTGTGTCGAAACAAAACAATAGCTTGAAATTTGAATAATAAATAGTTTGTTGATAGATGCATTCTGCAATAGTCAGAACTTCTGACGGATTGACGGTATTACATTTCAAAAATAGGAAATTATTCCTATATATTTTCGGGTATAAAATAGTTACAAAAATGGCTCTATTACAGTGTACGTAGCCATAACTTCACTTTTTAAGAAACAATATAACTTGGCCTGCTAGTTAGGTCAAAGAGCCCTGTCTATGATTTTAATAGGCTGTTACACACCTTAACGCAACGTATATTATACTATATACATTAATATTTAGGTAATACGTACGTGCTTTTTTTATACTTATTATGTTATTTTATTCGTGGTTTTTGTATAGTTTAATATATAGATATGATATACGCTAGAAATTGGACCAAGGATTCTTTTTGTATAGTAACTATTAGCGCTTTGTCGAAGATAAAGACGGTCTTGATTTTCATTTGAAAGTTACATTATTTAATTGTGATGAAACAAGTCCTGCATAAAAAATGACGCCTTTTTTTTTTTTTTTTTTTAATGTCACGCGTCCTTTTCAAAGACATGAAAAAACATGAGTTTTCTCTAAATATAAAAGGCCTTCTCTTGACGTCTTCATCTAATATCATTCTTGTTTACTACTCACAATATTTATAATATTACTACTATTACCAGAGGAATTTAAACTTTTCACGCACAGATTAGATATCTTGAATGTCTCAATTAAGTAAACCAAAAAGACCACATACTAATGCAAGTCTAGCATGTAAAAATTGTCGAGCGAGTCACCGAAGATGCGAAAGACTTTCTAAAGAGGACATATGTGCATACTGTAAAAACCACAGGCTTCATTGTACTTATACCTGGGGTAAAAAACGCGGGCCAAAGCCTAGATTTCCTAATTTTCAATCTCCTCTCAATATTAAATTTCGTAAAACCAATATTGAAGAATCCCAATTTTCTTCACATCTTTATAACAATATCATTACAATACCCTTTTTTAAAACTACTGATGCGTTTATTGATCAAAAATTTGCACCAAATAATCAAAATATCACACCCACTAACTCTTATGAAACTACTACCGAAGAATTTCAAGCCTCCTATTTAAACTTTGAAACCGCACATACTTGTACTATTGGAACTACTGAGGAGTTCGTTGACCTAGGGCTAGTGTTAAATAATCAAAATACCACGCCAATTTACTTTTATGATATTGCTACTGAAGAATTCCAATTCCCTTCATCAAATTTTGAAAATTTATATCCTTATGATGGTGTTAGAACTACTGAAGTATTTATTGATCAAGAACAAGCTCCAAATAATTCCTTATGAAATTACTAATGAAGAGTTTCAGTTTTTCTATTCGAACTTAGAAACTACATATACTTACACTATTCCTTCTTTCGGTGCGTTCGTTAGTCAAGGACTATTTCAAACCATTAAAATACCACGTCAATTAACTCTTATAAAATTGTTACTGAAGGATTCTAATCTCCTTGTTAAAATTTTGGAATTTCAAGCCCTTATAATAGTGTTATTACAACACTTTTTAAAACTGTCAGAGCATTTATTAAAAAAACTCACCAATTAATCAAAATGCCACATCATTAACTTAATGAACTTATTACAGAAGAATTCCGATTCTTTAATTAAACTTCGGAACCTTTCATACTTATAATAATATTATTACTACTTCACCCTTTTGGGATTACTGAAGCATCCATTAGCCGGCAATATTAAATAATCAAATTACTTACGAATTTTATGAAGAGCTCTTATCTCTAATTAAACTTTGAAACTTTCCATCCTTATTACAAACCCTATCAGAATTACTAAAGGAGTTCATTGATCAAGAATCAATACCGATTAATATACAGTAGATTAATTTTTATTATAAACCGAAATAAGATTTGTTAATTTTTCTCCGAGTGATGTCATTTGATCATATTAAAGCATTTCTTGAACGTGTGCAAGGTTAGCGACGTAGTAATTATCCATATATCAATATTATATTTTAATTTTAGTGTAATGACAAAGGATATACTATAAAGAAAATTTTGGCTTAAAGATTTTTTTTACGAACATTTACTATCTTAGTTTATGGATTAAATGCATACTTATTTTTTATTATATTAGTTACCATGTCTACTTGTAAGTTATTTGCCTTTTTGCTCATCATAAATCTTATATTTTATGAATTCCTTTTATATTGTATTTCGAAACACTCGTAATTTAAATTTTGTTTAATATTGTATGGCATGAAAAAAATGTCAATAAAATTACTATATTTTGTACTTATTTATAGAAATATCGATAACAAAATTTCTAATAAATTTAAGGATCCTTTATACGAATTCATATAGCCAGTTTGTATTTAGTTGAGTTAGAGGTTGGATCTGTTATCCGTTGGATACTTAATGTAATAGTAAAATCCGTCCGGTATCCATTAAATTAATATGAAAACGGATAACTGATTCAAGCTCTTGTTGGAAATTTCAAAATATCATTGATATACTACCCATCTCTTTGATAAAGTATCCCCAGTACCGGAGTACTTTTCAAACATTTTTTGAATAGTACGCACATAAGTTATATTATTAAATATATTGTGGTATATAAAATTTCCCATTGCATAGTACACCCATCCTCACATGGTATCCCGACTATCATTCAAACTAGTTTGGGTTTTTTGAATAAGATCTGGGGTACGTATACAGTACTGTAATAATTTTGATTTACGAAAATTACGTTGCTGATTACTGTGCTGTCAATCTGGCACACAATCAAAAGGTACTCGACCAATACATGTCTGGCTAACTGCTAATAAAAATGTATATCTTAGAAAACTCATATTTAGCAAAATTAATAGGTAAAATTGAAAAATAATATGTAATATATATGTTACGGGTCAAATTGGATTTTAGGTCAAGTTAAACTTAACCCGGGTCAAATTGATCAATTAAAAAACCGGCCAGCATCAACATAAGTCCGGCCCGTCCTAACCCTAAAATTCTGCTAGGGATCAGTTTGACCCGGGTCAAGTTTAACTTGACCTAAAAGCCAATTTAACCCATAACATATACAGTCATAAATTTTAATTTAATAGCTTAAGGTTAATGGTCTGAATCAATCCATAGTTTGCGTCTTGATCGTTACGAAATATAGACATTCAATAGCATATTAAGCATCAAATCTGATCGTTAATTTCATTTATATTATCAAAACAATTTTTTTTTATTATTGCGCTTGCAAAATTGTGTGATTCTTGTAATGATTAGATTGTGCTTATATTAAGTTGGTCAAATTTATTATAAATTTGAGTTTGCATTAGGCCAATACGAACTCGCAACACAAAAATTCAATGTTCCTTCCATAAACTTTCGCAAATAATGCAATTTTTCGATTAGAACAATTAACAAAGCAAAACGAGTTGAACCTAAAGTGAGCACCACCAGTAATTTCAATTTTCAATGGGATTGTTCAGCGTCGCTTTTTAATTCTAATGAAACATTAATATTAATTTACATTTATTAAAAAACACGCTACTATATATTGTTATTAAGTTTTTAGATTTTTCTAAGTTTTTACAAGTTTTACATGTAAAAATTTTTAATGAAATTTTTTTCATGTTAGGATTAATATTTAGAGCTAACATTAGGGTTGAAAGTTTTTTGGGAAATAGACCATTTTTATTTAGACCACACCACACCAATTAATTAGCTGGTTTTTGAGATAATATATGAGTGTCGCTAGAAGAAAACCCGGAAATTTAAATATAAATTTTCGGGTTTTCTTTTAACGACACTCATATATATAATATATTTATAGATGTAAAACATCATCGGTGAATTTTAGTAAAAGTCTTTTAATATTAAATCTTTTATAATACTATTACAATATTGTATCTTAAATATCTAATGATTATTTTTTACATTCAGTAAGGATCCTTTATTTAATATACATATACCAATTTTTTGTATAACGATGATTAGTTTTATGTTAAGTTGTTTAATATTATGTACATCCTAGAATAATCCTAGAATAATCCTAGAATAAGGATACGTATGAACAGTTTTAGGTTAAATGAGAATACTTTATTTAGTATATGTATATTGTAGAGTAAAAATACAATTTTAATTTTTTTATGACAATATATAATTAGTTTTATGTCAAGTGAGAATATATTATTTAGTATTACGTATATCCTAGAATAATTCTAGAATGAGGAAATGACTAGTTTTACGTACGTACAGTAGTCACCAAAAGTAACGCCCGATTTATTAGGTAAAAATAAAATTTTTATTTATTTTATTTTTGCATTACAAAACATTAAATTTTTTTT